TGAGCTGTCAGCCCAGAGCCCAACATGGGGCTTGAACTCATAAACTGAGAACATGACCTGAGCTGAAGTCGAATGCCCAATTGAGCCACTCTGGTGCCCCTCAAGTGATTATCCTTTTGTTGCAAGTTAGTATTTATGAGACACACAGCAGCCTCATCCCTACTCTTCATGGACTTCACGTTCTCCCCTCATTTTCTGATAGTTGTAGTAATCTGTTAGAGTATTAGGCATTTTCTATAATGTTGACTCACTTATTGATTATCTGTAGTTAAAAATATATTTGAAGGTAATTGCTAGTTTATATGGCAGTGTATATCCCCCTTGTTTTGATTGTCTGAGTTCCTTTCTGGCAGATTCCTTAAGAAGGGCTTATTGAAACAATTATCCTTAAGGTCCTGCATGTTCCTAACCCTTTGTCTTTAAATATAAAGGCCACTTAAACTGGATTTAAAATTTGTGAGTTATGTTTTCTTTTTTTAACATCTTAAATGTGTTCTCTTTGTTATCTGGCGTAAAGCTCTGTTGTCAAAAGTGTGATAATATGAATTTTATAAGTGACTTGGCCCTTTTGTCTCAGTGCCTAAAGGATTTTTTTCCTTTAAAAACTAATAATAGCCATACTAGAATATGTCTCAGCTTTTTTGGTTACTTTTTTCAGATATGCTGTGTACCCTTCAGTATATACTTTCAAGTTGTCTTTTATCTCAAATGTTTTCTTGAATTACATATTTCATTATTCTGTCCTGTTGTATTGATTTTCTTTAAGGATTCATGTTATATGCACTTTGTACCTTCTTTGTTTATCTTCTGTATCTATCATTTTCTTTTGAATCCTTCATTTCTTTTTGATTTTTTTATTTCTCTAAAATTTTGCCTTTTTCCATCTTTTATTTCTCAAAGGCACTATCCATTGGTTAATTTGCTGTTCATTCTCTTTAGTCTGTATTCTTAAAATGATTTTTTCCTTTTGTGTCTTTTCTCTGAGGTTTGTCACTTTTTTTCAAATCTTCCTTTCCTCCAGTCATTTCATTTCCGAATTAATGTAAATGTAATACTTATTTGTAGGGTTTTTTTTTTAATTGCTTCCTTTGTTTTCTTAATTTTGTTTATCTTATTTTGAAATGTTAGGTTACAGCTTTCATCTGTTTTGTTGGCATGTTTTTCTGGCTTTATTTTTTAATTATCTGAGGAATCTTATTCTGTTCTTTCCATTTTCTGATAAAATCCTTGGATGGGGTATGATCATGATTTTGTATTGCTCTTCAAGTTAAATAATGTTAGATAAGTAAGTGAAATATTTTCTCGTACTTTTAGGAGGGAGGTAGAAGTCAGATTAACTTTTCACGGTTAAAGAGCCCCTCCTGCTGCTTTTGCAAAGTGATAAAAGACATGGCTTCATAATATCTGAGACCTGCCCTCTCTGCTTTCCTCCCCTACTTTTATCTGGACTTTCTCTTTCTTTTGCCCTTTATTCTTCCTCTCTTGCTTAAATGTGGCTTTTACTGTCCGTACTTGCTTCACCATGGGACTTTATCCTCGAAGGGAACTTCAGTTTTTAATTTTGAGTATTTATAGGGCCTTAGCTTCTCTGGCAGCATTACACTGTCCTCTTGTACTCACCCGGTAGATTGGAATCTGCAGAGCCCTCTCCAGTTTTGGTCACAGTTTTATTTTTTTTTATTTTTAAAAAATGTTTATTTTTGAGAGTGATGGAGATAGAGTGTAAGCAGGGGAGGAGCAGAGAGCGAGGAAGACACAGAATCCCAAGCAGGCTCTGGGCTGTGAGCTGTCAGCACAGAGCCTGATGTGGGGCTTGAACCCGCAGACCATGAGATCATGACCTGAGCTGAAGTCATGAATGCTTAACCAACTGAGCCCCCCAGGTGCCCCACAAAGTTTGATAATATAAAAAAGGGCACCTAGGTGGGTCAGTCGGTTGAATATCCAACTCTTGCTTTTGCCCTGGGTCATGATTCCAGGGTTTTGAGATTGAGCCCCACGTCAGGTTCTGTGCTGAGTGTGGAGCCTGCTTAAGATTCTTTCTCTTTCTCCCTCTGCCCCTTTCCCCTGCTCATGCTTGCTCACTCCCTCTAAAATAAATAAAATGAAAAAAAAAAAAAAAAAAAAAAAAAAAAAAAAAAAAAAAAAAAACAACAACTGAGCTAGAGATTTTAACAGTCTTATACATAATGTTGAGACTTTGTTGTCTAGGTTACAAGATGGGCATGGGTCATATATAGCTTTTAGTGATATTCACAAGAAACACTCATATCTGTAAAGATAAACTAGTATTATTTGGAGCAAGTTTAGAGGAAGTAGTGAAAGGAATCAGAGCTGTTTGACATGAGTAAAGGTTAAAGGAAATAAGACTTAGGTTAGTGAAGAAAAGATGTGGAGACATTACCATTAAATGTTTTTTTTTGTTTTTTTTTTTTTGTTTTTTGTTTTTTTTTGTCCCCAAGGGTATAACTAGGTTTCAAGGGATAAACCTCCAAGAGATAGATTTAGATTAAATGTTGATAATAACTTTCTAATCACCAGAGTACTCTAAAGAGGGTGTTCTTTCCTTTTTAAAGAATTTTTTATTAGAGTGCCTTGGTGGCTCAGTCGGTTGAGCGACTGACTCTTGATATTGGCTCTGGTCATGATCTCATGGTCGTGAGACCAAGCCCCGCTTTGGGCTCTGTGCCAACAGCTTGGAACCTGCTTCGGATTCTCTCCCTCTCTCTCTACCCCTCCCCTGCTTTTCCATTGCTCTCTCTCTCTCTCTCTCTCAAAATAAGTAAGTATTTAAAAAATTATTTTTTATTGTTTTTAATTTTTTTAAGTTTATTTGTTTATTTTGAGAGAGAGAGAGAGAGAGAGAGCACAAGCAGGGGAGGGGCATAGAGAGAGGGAGGGAGAGGGAGGGAGAGGGAGAGGGGGAGAGAGAGAGAGAGAAAGAGAAAGAGAAATCCAAGCAGGCTCTGTGCCATCAGCACAGAGCCCAATGTGGGACTTGAATTCATGAACCGAGAGATCATGACCTGAGCCAAGGTGGAGAGTCGAATGCTCATCTGACTGAGCCACCCAAGTGCAGCCCGACCCAGCATTTTCTTTATTAAGTATAGTTGACATACAATGTTATGTTAGTTTTAGCTGCACAACATGGTGATTGAACAGTTCTGTATATTACATAGTGCTCACTGTGATAAGTGTAGTCATGATCTGTCATCATACGTTATTACAACATTATTGACTGTATTCCCAATACTGTACTTTTCATCTCTGTGACTTAATGTATTTATAACTGAAAGTTTATACCTTTTAATCTTTCACCCATGCTCCACCCCCTTTCCCTCTGGCAACCACCAGGGTGTTCTCTGTACTAATTTCATTTGTTCGTTTTGGTTTTTTTAGATTCCATATAGAAGTGAGATCATATGGTATTTGTCTTTCTCTGAGTGATTTATTTCAGTTAGCATAATACCCTGAAGAGGGTGTTATTTTCTTGACAGGGGATGATCTCTTACTGGAGGTATTAAAAAAATAATTCATCAGTTTGAGTTCATACTTAAAGAAGATAGTTGCACTGTGTAGTCTTCATGACCCTTCTACCTTGAGTTTTTAGCATCAACTCCCTTGAGCTTTCTGCAATTTAAATGCCTGGAAAGTGATACCAGACATTGGTCACAAGTTTGTTTCCCTATTAACATGTTCTTTAATGCAGCACTTATGAGAACAACATGGAGGAAATGCCAATACTTCTGATCATGATGGCATATCTCTGGGAAGCCCTTGAGGGCAGAGAGTGTCTATCTTTTTTCTCTTCCACAACCCTAGTAAGCCTTGCACATGGAGGTGCTCAATATGTATTTATTGAATTGAAATGGAAAAAAGGACTTCCTCTTGATTGGAGTTCCTAATTGGGAGCATTGATCTTTACTTATAAGTTAATAATACAGGAGACTGATTTCTGCATTTTCAAGCAAATCCATTTTCATGTATTTTTAAACAATGCCATCTGAAAATACTTCAAAGAGTAAAATGATATAAAGCGTATGTCAGTCATTCTGTGGGCTGTGCCCATCCTCTAGGTTCTGATGAATAAGATGAATAAGAATGACTCCTTTCTCTCAAGTTCTAGGGAAATATTATTAAGAAAAAGAGAAGGCTATGCCTTTTATGAAATTATTTCCAATAAGGCATCTTTATAGCCAAATGAGAAGTGATTGAAACGAAAGTAAAAGTTCCATGTCCTCAGGTGACTTACCTGTATTGGTGGTTTTATAAAAGTCATCCTCAGATTATTAGATCATTAAGTATTAAACATGGAATGGCCCTTTGAGATCATCTGGCTGAGAAGTTCTTACCTGGAGGATAGTGATAGGCTTTTAGGGGTCTGTGAACCCATTAAAATTGCATACCTTTTTTTTACGTGTTTATGCACATAGGCATTTTTCTGGGAAACAGTCATTTTCCTTAGATTCTCAAAAAAGTCTTGACCTTGACAAAGTTTCAGAATTTGTAAGTCCTAATCCATTCTCTTGGAATTAAAGGCAGGAGGCCCAGAAATTCTGATGACTTGCTGAGATTACCCTGCTGTATCCTGTTGAAGCCGGGCTACTCCTACCTGAGTGAGGCTGAGAGGCCTTGTGCTGAGCATTTTTTTGTATTTGCTCATTTCATCCTTTTAACCACCCCCCCCCCCCCCCCCCCCCCCCGCAAAAAAAAAAAAAGTAGCTATACTGATTATTCCCATTCGGTAGGTGAGAAAACTGAGAGAGGGAGGTTAAATAACTCCCCTGTCAAGTCCCACAATTAATGAGTGACAGCAGGAATCAGACCTGGGCACTGTGATTCCTGAGACTACACCCTTCGTAACTATAGTCCACCACCCCTCATATGGGATTCGCAAAGATGCAATCTGGGATGGAAAATGGTTCTTGTTTGTTGTAAGTTAGATGAAGCATTTTTAGAAGTTTTTATAGAGTTAAACATATTGAAATTTTCTTTCCTAGCATGCAATGATGTTGCCTGTTTTGACCCATCATATCCGCTACCACCAATGCCTAATGCATCTGGACAAATTAATAGGATATACTTTCCAAGATCGTTGTCTGTTACAGGTAAGAATTACTCTCCTGTACACTCATAATGACAAAATAGGGGTAATTCATCTTGCAGGTTACAAATGGAACATTGAGATTCTCCGTTCTGGGAGATAATGAGGACGTTTAGAAACATAGCTCTCCATTACTCTGGTCTCTGGTTGCCACTTTTAAACACTTTTTCTCACTTTTTTTTTTTTTTTTTTGACACTGTCTTTAAAGAAACAGGCTAAAATTTGCCTGTCAAACCTGAGTCCCTTCTTTCAGCCTTCCCTTCTCTATGGCTCTTCTTTTCACGTGATGACTATCCTAGTTCTCCTTTGAAAGATGTGAATTTTTAGGTTTCTTTTCAGAAGAGGACTTGTACTAGAGCTCTGGTACAAGCTCTGACACTGGAAGAGAGAAGATGGAAAGATGAGGGCTTAAAATTTGACTGGATACATAGATCTCTTTCCTGTTTCATTTGAAATGGTTTAAAGATGGCACTTCTGAGTTAAACTAAATTTATTTCATTGAAATTTTAGCTGGCCATGACTCATCCAAGTCATCACTTAAATTTTGGAATGAATCCTGATCATGCCAGGAATTCTTTATCTAACTGTGGAATTCGGCAGCCCAAGTATGGAGATAGAAAAGTTCATCACATGCACATGCGGAAAAAAGGTATGTTTGGATTCTACCATTGTATTTTGGCCTGTGTTCTCTATTGTAAACTAAATCCTCATGATATGACTGTTTTATACTCTCATTCCTTACTGCTTTATGACCCATATATAACAGCATTCACTTTGAGCATTATTATAAGGATGGATACAATTTTTAGAAAAATTTGTTGCTCCCTTTCAAGTGCTTTAAGTAACTTTAGTTGATCACACTTGTAGACATGCAGATATTAAACCTTTTGAAATCAAATTGGGGTAAAATAGATAATTATCTATCTGTCATATCATGATCCTAGAATGGTTCTAACAGTATTTATTTGTGTATTTTTTTAATAGGAATTAACACCTTAATAAATATTATGTCACGTCTTGGACAAGATGATCCAACTCCCTCAAGGTAAAGTAACTTTTCTTAGTAACAGCCTTATTGAGATATAATTCACATACCATATAATTCACCCATTTAAAGTATACAATTCAGTGGTTTTTAGAATGTTTACACAATGGTGCAACACTACTTAATTTTAGAATGTTTTCAGCACCCCAAAAAGAAACCCCTTACTTCCTGTTTCCCCTCAGCCTGCCCATCCCTAGGCAACCGTATTTTGCTTTCAGTCTGCTTCCAATCTCTATGGATTTGCCTATTCTGAACATTTCATGTAAATGGTATCATACAATGTGGTCCTTTGTGACTGGCCTCTTTTACTTAGCACAATGTTTTCAAGATTTATCCATGTTATAGTATGTGTTAGTGCTTTGTTTCATTTTATTGTCAAGTGATACTCCATGGTGTGGGTATGTCATGTTTTATTTATCGTTGATGGGTGTTTGGGTTGTTTCCACTTTTTGGCAATTATGAGTGATATTGCTGTGAATATTTGTGTACAGGTTTTTGTGTGGATATATATTTTGATTTTCTTGGGTATATACCTAGGAGTGGAATTTCTGGGTCATATGGTAACTTTGTTTAACCTTTTAAGTAACTGCCAGACTGTTTTCCAAAGTGGCTACATTATTTTATATTCTCAGAAGCAGTATGTAATAGGTTCTGATTTCTTCACATCTTTCCCAACATTTGTGAATCTAGCCATCTTAGTAGGTAGGAAGTATTACCTCATTTGTGGTTTTGTTTGTATTTCCCTGATGGCTAATGATGTTGTGTATCTTTTCATGTGCTTAATTGGCCATTTGTATATCTTACCTAAGAGAACTATCTGTTGGGAATCTTTTCCTGTGTTTAATTGGGTTATTTTAAGTTACTGATTTAGAATCATTTTTATATATTCCAGATATAAGTCTCATCAGATGCAAATTTGCAAAAATTTTTTCTCATTCTAAGGATTGTTTCTTCATTCTTTTGAAGATGTCCTTCAAAGAAAAGTTTTGATGAAGTCCAATTTTTCTGTTACTTCTTGTGTTGCTTATACTTTTGGTGTCATGTCTAAGAAGCGACTGCCTAATATGGAGTCACAGAGATTTACATCTTTTTTCTTTTAAGAGTTGTATAGTTTTTTTTCTCTTACATTTAGATCTTTGGTCTATTTTAGAGTTAATTTTTGTGTGTGGTGTGGTGTAGGGGTCCAGCTGCAGTCTTTTGATGTGGATATCCAGTTGTGCCAGCATCATTTGTTGAAAATGCTAATCTTTCTCCACTAAATTGTCTTGACACCCTTGTTGATAATTAATTGATGGTATATGTGAGGATTCTTTTTGGACTCTCAGTTCTATTCTGTTGATCTTTATGTCTGTCCTTATGCTGGTACCACACTGTCTTGATAACTAACTTTATAGTAAGTTTTGAAAATAAGAAATGCAAGATCTCCAACTTTTTTTTCCTCTTCTTCTTCTTTCAAGTTTGTTTTGGCTACCCCAGACCCATTACATTTCCACATGAAATTTTGGATTAGCTTATCAATTTTTGCAAAGAAGCCAGCTAGGATTTTGGTAGGGATTGTATTGAATCTATAGATCAATTTGTGAATGATTACCATCTTAATATTAAGTTCTGATCCCTAAACATTATATATCTTTACATTTATTTAAGTCATTTAAAAAAAATTTATTTTGTAAAGTTTATTTATTTTGAGAGAGAGAGAGAGAGAGAGAGAAAATGAATGAATGGGGGAGGGGCAGAGAAAGAGAATCCCGTGCAGTGCAGAGTCCGATGTGGGGATTGAACTCACCAACTGTGAGATCATGACCAGAGCCAAAATCAAGAGTTGAATGCTTAACTGATTGAGCCACCCAAGCACCCCAAGTCATGTTTTTTTTTTTAAATACTAATATTATTGTGTTTTTATTTATTTATTTTTATAATATTTGTTTATTTATTTTGAGCAACACAGTGGGGGGGTGAGGGACAGAGAGAGAGAAGAGAAAGAATCCCAGACAGGCTCCACGCTATCAGCGAGCGTGGAGCCTGACAAGGGGCTTGATCTCAACGAACCATGAGAGTACGACCTGAACTGAGATCAAGAGTTGGACATTTAACCGACAAGCCACCCAGGTGCCCCTAATTAAGTCATCTTTAATTAATTTAATTTACTTTATATTATAGTTTTAAGAGTACATTTTGTCTTTTGCTAAATTTATTCCTAAGTATTTTATTCTTTTTGATGCTATTATATATGGAATTGTTTTCTTAATTTCATTTTTGGATTGTTCATTGCCATTGTAGACAAATAGAATCAGTTTTTGTATATTGATGTTGTATCTTGCAACCTTGATGAGCTCCTTTGTTAGCTATAATAGTTTTTTAGTGGATTGTGTAGTATTTTTTTGTGTATATGATCATATCACCTACAAATAGAGATGGTTTTAGTTTTTCCGTTCCACTTTGGATGCCTTTTATTTCATTCTTTAAACATAGTTGCCCTGGCTAGAGCTTCCAGTATAATGCTGAATAGAAGTGGTAAGAGTGGGTCCTTGTCTTCTTCCTAAAATCTTTAGGTGAAAGCATTTTTTTACTGTTGAGTCTGATGTTAGCTGTGGGTTTTTCGCAGATGTCTTTTTTTTTTTTTTAATGTCTATTTATTTTTGAGAGAGACAGAGCATGAGTGGGGGAGGGGCAGAGAGAGAGGGAGACACAGAATCGGAAGCAGGCTCCAGGCTCCAAGCTGTCAGCACAGAGCCTGACGCAGGGCTTGAACTCATGAGCTGTGAGATCATGACCTGAGCCAAAGTCGGATGCTCAACAGACTGAGCCACCCAGGCACCCCTGTAGATGTCTTTTAATCAGGCTGAGGAAATTTCTTTCTGTTCCTAGTTTGCTGAATGTTTTTATTATGAAAGTATGTAGAATTTTGTCAGATGTTCTTTTTGTTTTTTATTCATTTATTTTTTTGCTATTGAGATGATCTTTTTTTTTTTTTTTCATTTATTCTATTCATGTGGTATATTGTGTTCATTGATGTTGAACCAACCTTGCTTTCCTGGGATATATCTCACTTGATCATGATGTATAATCCTTTTTATATGCTACAAATTTAGTCTACTAGTATTGTTGGGGATTTTTATGTCTATAGTCATAAGAGTTATTGGTCTGTAGTTTTCCTTTTCTGTGATGTTTTGTTTGGTTTTATTATTAGGATAATACTGGCCTTATATAACGGATTGGAAATTTTTATATGTTAATTCTCATTATTGTCTTTCTTGATTTTAAGAGATACTCTCATATATTAACATTCTTAATTTTGTGTGGCCTTAAGCCCCTGAAGAATCTGGAAAGGAAGTGGACTGGGTCTAAACTCATTAATAGCCCTGGAAAACTAATGGAGGCAATTGCCTAATGGCTGAAGAGTCTCTGATGTTGCCCTCAGGAAGCTTATCTTTGTGTGTAAAACACAGTGGGTTATACTCTGAAAGCCAATAGAGATTGCTAGAGGGCAGATTTCTTTTTAAAATGGACTGTTGAGAAGTTAAATAGCCAGGCTTATCCCTCTTGGATCCAGACTTAAATGGATTAAAGGTGGGTAGAGCCGGGATAGAAGTGACAGGGTTGACTGTTGCTGCAGCTCATAACTGGCTTCCACAGCCAAGAGCATGGCCAGCCATAGCTAGCATAACTTCCTTTTCTACCTCTTTCTTCATCTGTCACTTTTCTTTTTAAATTGGCTTGCCTTGAGTTGCTCTCTTTTGAAATTATCATAGACCATACTATCTTCCTCTTCAATCAAGAGGTGAAAAGAAAGGCAGGATGAAACTTTAAAATTTTCGTTTGAAGATGATCATACGCCTTACTATGGTATTCTGTGAAAGCCTAAGATCAGAAAAGAGCTGTCTAATTAAAAGAGCCCTTAATCACACCCTCAGGGACAGTGTGGCCATGGTTTCCTTTTACCCTGCTATATTGTAGAGTCTCCAGATGACCAGTTCTGTGTTTTAATAAGTGGAACCCTGAGTTCCCTGCGGCCCCATTGAAAAAGGCAAGGCTACACATTCCCTACACATGTACTTTACACTGATGAAAGCATGAGCTTAAATTATCTTTGTCTCATCTACCCCAACCATAGTTGTTGGTACGTAAATTGTCTCTGATAGCGTTGTTCAGACCTCACGGTTTTTTTTCCTTTTCCCCGTCACAAAGAACAGGGCTTTCTTTCCGTGGCAGAAGGAATGATATCTGAGAAACCGTGTTCATTTGAACTCAACCATGTTGAAAATGATAGAGAATAAACAGATATGATGTGTCCTTTGCTGCTTGTGTCGAGAGTCTCCTGATTATTGCTTATTGCTGATGTGGGGTTGACCCCAGGTTTCTGTTCAGTAAGAGCCTCCTTGCTTCTTTGGTGGCAGCGTCTGCTACGGCTGGACTGTGGTTGTCCAGCGGTCTCTGCTGTGCATGGCTCTTCATACATGTTTAATCCAACAGACGTTTATCTAGTACCTTTTGAGTTTGAGGTAATTTGTAGGTATTTTGGAGGATTTAAAGGCAAGTGAGACAAAGCCCCCACTCACCAGAAGGTGTGACTACCTTAGGTGGGGTAAGAGTGCTATGAACATAAATAACTTAATGTAAAAGATACTCTGCTAAGTGCTTCACTCAAGGTCAAAACAAAATATACATAGTCTGCTGTGGGGCTGAGGATAGCTCTGGTGGTTGTTTAGGGATTATAGGTCAGTTTTATATTATGCACTTGAATAATTGAGTTCACTTGAAATGATTTGCCCTCTCCTTTTATTTCTTAGTTTGCTATTTTAAAACGGGATGCAGTTGTCCCTGCTCCTTGGAAGTGTTTGTGTATCTTTAAAGTAAACCCTGTCGGGGCACCTGGGTGCTTCAGTCAGTTAAGTGTCTGACTCTTGGTTTCAGCTCAGGTCATGATCTTACAGTTTGTGGGTTCGAGCCCTGTGTTAGGCTGTCAGTGCAGAGCCTGCTTGGGATCTCTCTCCCTCTCT